TATGTATATTACGGGCAATTTGATAATGGCCGGGCATTATGCATAATTCCCAATTTGTTCGGTCAATATGATTAATAGAAAAGAATTAATCAAATTTTCCGGTCATTATGCATATTTCCCAATGCTAAATGGTCATTTTGATAAATCATCTCATTTTAGTTCATTTTTCCGGCAATCTTAAGCCCCTTGCACAATAAGCGATAGTGGTAGCAATAGCGACAGCGACAAAGTTGCGAACAAAGGTATAGCTTTGTTGGCAACCTTGTCGCTGTCGGTATCGCTATCGCTATCGCCTATTATGCAAGAGGCTTGTTAGTGACGCGCTTTAAAAGTATTTAACTGTTTAAAGCGCGTCACTAACCTATATCTCGCTTCGCGGGGCAGAGCGACACTTTTTTCTGCCAGATTCGGTCGTTTTGTGCAAAAACGCGTCGATTAAGCCTAAGTTCAACAAAATCGGTGAGAAGGCCACTATTCTGCACATTTATCAAATAATTTATTAATTTGTCTATTATAAATTATGTTTAAACACAAAATATAAAATATTTTAGTGCATGAACTCATTGTAAGTAAGAAAGTTGAAATTATAGACAGACTGCCATTCTTTTTAGAAAGATATTTTAATATGTTAATCACATTTCCCACTTGTCTGTGGGCATCATGCATAATGACCGGTCAGTTTGATTAATTTGAACATTTTTGTTTTTATTATTCAAATGTCCCGAAAGAAGCGGAAATTATGCATAATGTCCGGATTAATCAAATTGCCCGTAACATATATATATATACGCTATATAAACTTCCTTTTGTTAAATATCAATCAATCAACTAATAATATACAATTAAAATTAATAATATTTCTGATAACAGTAGTAACACAATTAATAAAATAAATTTCGTATTTTTTTATTCATACTACAATAACTTATAATAGATAAAATTGAGAAATTCATTATTATATTAACTTAAAGATTATTTCAAAAATAAAATTTAATTTAATTAATTTAGATACATTGTACATTATATAATTAATCTAGGATTTAATATGATAGTAAATTAAAAAAATATATGCAAACATACTGCATTTGGTACAATTCTTTGGTTGTGGTGGTTCTACGACTGTTGGTGGATATTGTGGATATGGTGGATATGGTGCCACCGAACCGAACAACCATTCCCAGAATCCTTTATCATTGTTAATTCCACTTGTGCTATTCGAGTTTTCTTCCTCCACACGTATAGTAAAGTTTGACTGCAACTGTTATTTAAAACATATTGTTTTATATTATAGATTGTAATAGTTGTATTACACAGGAGTGTCACACACCAATAAAAGATACAAAACTTTTTAGATTTATTGCACCTATTAATTGCATTTGTATAAAAGTGTATATTTTAATGCAAAATATATATGAGTTTATTATTAAAATATTTAATACTAAATGTAAAAAATATGTAAAAAAGACGGTATTTAATAAATTATTCATGTAAGAATAATTCATTCTTTTTTAATTAGCAAATAAATTGCGAAGAAAATATTATAAATTTGAAAATTTCTATGCAAATTTCTCTATATAGTTCGTTTTTATATATATCTGTGTTTTTTATTGTTCAATAAATTAGTTTAAGAAATGCTTTATTGATAAATGGTAGTAAATGTGCGAAAACACTACACTATTTACACATCGACGATACCTCATTATCAACGGCGACTGTTATTGCGACTGCGACAAGTGTTAATAACAATATAAACCGAAACAGCATTATTTCTTGCACTTCAAAATCTCGCACCGCTGTGTGTTGTTTCCTACTGTGCACTGAGAAGTAAGTATCAAACCGAGCTGATCCACCACACTTCCTGCTGAGGCAGTATATACTTTCACACAAGCCGTCGATTCGGTGTCACGTCTTTATTTATACGGAATAGTGGACAAGCCGGTAGCAGAAGTGAAAATTTAGGCTAGCGGTAAATTCACCGCAAATAAATGTCGTAAGCATGTAAGAGATCTGCTAAAGTTCGCTAAAGACGGTGTATCTCTTACTCAGATAATTCCTTTTCCTCTTTCTCCCGTGATTTCTCTTCTCAGAATAAAAAAAGGGCAGAAGCGAATGTCCCAATTAAAAGTAATTTATAAAGAATAAAAAACACAAAATATATAAGCTTTTCAAAGATAAAATTTTTTTTAAATTCTTTTTAAATATTTTTTGTAAATTGTTTTTGAAAAATAAAATTACTACATATATTTTTAAAAATTAATTTTTATTTTTTATCAAAATTTCTTGTATTTTATTATAAAATAAGCATATTATTTGTAATGAATGTTTTAAGAGACATAAATACATTAGACAAGAATTCTGTTATGGAATTGTCAATGCATTTTTACAGATAAAATAAAATGTAGTAATTGTAAATTATATAGGACAAATTAAATATGTTAAAAAACAGTTTTTAAATACAGTATTATAAAAATTAGTGTTTTTTGTACGTACACGATTAAATTTATATTACCATATGAATAGAGAGTCATACATTATACATCTTACTTTCGAAGTCGTATATTTGAAAGTTTAATGAGTCTCATTGCAATTTGTGCATTCTGATTTAAAGATACGCTTTTACAAATCTTTAGCATTATGATATAAGCGTTTGTCATGTTGTATAAAGTGATACATCCATAATATTCCAAGTGACATGAAAAACGACAGTTCGTTTGGCAGGTTCCTGTCTTTATCTTTATCGGCACTGCTCCGTCTGATCCGATTTATCATAACTTCGATTATTGCTGAACAAACAAGATAAGATGCGCGGCAGGGCAACAGATTGTACACCACCTGTAACCCGTGACAGTGGGTCAAGGTATATAGGTAACGAGACCCTCATGCGGGCGAGACGCATTACCTTATTGTCTCGATGTACGTCTAACTTTATCAGAAGCCTTGCTTTATTTTCATTTATCTTCAGGGTTAGATTAAATCTGCGATGTAATCTCTTCGCAGGCACAAATTTAGTGTCACAGATAATATTAAAGGTCGATTACACGTAATTTCTAAGCAGAGTTTAAGGTAGCAAAGATAAAAGAAAAGCCCCAAAAACCATTAAGATGTGATAAAAAAGGCAAATTCTTTCTGATTATATTAAGTTGGTTAATTAAATAACACACATATACAAGCGCGCACACATACATACACGGGAAAAGTATTAGAGAAGAAAAAGTATTTATACAAGAATATTAATCAATGAGGAAAATTTTATTCGCCAGTGGATAAATAACGGTATAAGAATTCTTTGACTATAACTGGCAATTTAATTAAAAAGTCAACACGACGTTTTGACTCTAATTCGAGTCCTTTTCAAGTGTATAAATATTCTTACAGAGCAATTTATTCGTCACGACAATGTGCCTGCATGTCAGATATAATGAATGCTTATGCGTTGTAAAGAGATAGAACATGGTCAAATATTAAAAAAGTAAAAATCGATTGTGTCAGGAGACACGTCTGCACTCCTCGGTAACGGACAACACAATGAGTGTGAAAAGGATGCGATTTAGAGTCGAAACGTCGTGTTAACTTTTTAATTAAATTGCCAGTTATAGTCAAAGAATTCTTATACCGTTAAGAATATTAATAATGTCACGCTACATATTCAATTGCAATTTTAAAATCGTATACATATTTTAAAATTGCGATTTTAAATATAAACGTAATTTTCATGCACGTCAACATAGCTAATATCTTAGAAAATATTTAAAAATTTACTTTAACGTTCTTTTTCATCTCTAATTATCTCAAAGATATGGGTCCGACCCAGTTTCCTAAAATATTTTGTATACATATGACAAGCAAGATAAATAAAAAATGCAAGATAAAAAGTTAAATTCGAGGTATACTCTTATCGCGCGCGTATCATGTATGTGTATGGCTGCGGTCCACTTGACGCTACAAATGCTTCGAAGCATTCCTCTTCTCTTTTCTTTCAATGAAGAAAGAAGGACCGCAGCCTATATCTGTTAGTTAACAAGAAAAGAAATGATTATAATTCTCGAAAATTTAACGAGTTCAGCGTAATTAAACAGTTCGATTCTTTAATAATTTACAAACGTGTTATTTGTTATTTGGGCTTCGCCTCGGATTCCACTGCATTGATTCACATTGACTAATGATTATACGCGAGCCATGTAACTTGCGACACACATAAGTAAAAATAAAATTATCTGTAAGTCAAATTACAAAATATGATGTGTTACCCGCCTTGAAAACGTGTGAATATAAATAAACAATGCGGAATCAGTTCAGTTTTATTCATGTTGTAAAAATTGCACTGTTAATTGAAAATCTTTTTGTATGCATTTTTACATTGCAAATCAGGTGTTTGTTGCACAAATCTCTATATAGCCCTTATTCCAGATGACTAGAAATCCTTGAAAAGCCGCAAACGTTTTATTAGCTCACGGACTCATCACATTTTTATGATTTGTAACCGCAATCTTAATAGTCCGAGGAAATTGTATAAACTTCTTCCTTTCATGTCATAGATTTGTTCTAGCTCAATGAAATTGATGACAAGGACAAATCATTATTACACTGACCCTGGTTACTATAACCGCAATAGCATCCTATGATGTTTAGCAAATATTAGGAACTTCTAAGAAGCCGCAAACGTTTTATTTGATTGCGGACTCGTCACATTTTTTATTCTAACTGCAAATATTAGAAACTTCTAGAGAAACTTTCAATATAATATGTTTATATCAGTCATATTTAATTCAAAATAATTATCACAACACTATTTACTCTTTCATGACATAATTCACGTTATAAAATTGTATCATATAGTATAACAGATTTATAAACTAATGAATTTTTTTTAATTACTTCCCTGATTACTTCTCTTAGCATACATATTTGACTGACCACTGAGTTTATTATCGTACGCATACCACATCAGAAGATGGTTTCAGCCGTGCATAATAACGATTAGTCTTCACACCAGACGCTCGCACGTGAAGATCACATCGCAAATCACTTTCTTCGAGAAAGAAAAGTGCAACCAATTTCATAAATATGTATTCGAAGAACGTGTCTTACGGAATAATAATAACAAAAATAAAAATTCGATATTTCAGCGACTCTTTGCGTGTGGCATAACGAGCGAAATTCTTGCAATTAATTACTTTGCTCGTGAAATTTATCAAGATGATTTATCACCACCTATCAAAATCACCATCATTATCATCATCAACGTTGTCGTCGTCATTATTGCTGACACTGTCGTCGTAGTTATCATACCGCAACAATGAATCGGAACGGCCATGGGGCGCGGTGGCATTCGCGTTCATTCGCTGACGAAATTGACATTGATCCAGTCTCGGTGGATCCCTGAAATGAAGGGTCGCTGCGAGAGGAGGTGGACCGGGTTGACATTGGACGTTCGTGGTGGCCGGATGGTCGATTGCGCCATAAGCCGTCGCGCTTGTACGTACGCGCGCAAACTCTCATTGTGCTCGTACCTGCGGCGGTACTTGTGCAGGTGAGACAACGGGCGCGTACACCGACCGCCCGGGTGATTTAAAGGCTGTCACATGCAACATCTGCCAATGCAAACGCACCACTCAAGGTTGACGATCCCCACCCGAGACACGCGGCTGGGCTTTTTCGTTAGTTATAATTTACTATAAAACGGCAAAACGACCGAGATACCTTTAGACTTTTCACGCTACGGATGTAAGCACGTGCGCGGGCCCGAAATTTCGCGACGAAACAAGTTTACCGATTGGCACGGATTACTTACCGGCAACCGCACGGCATGGACGGTTACGCAAGAACGAGATACATTTTTGTGCTATTTTTATGCCTGGGCTGCTGTTATGCATTGCCTCGTGTGGTAAGTTTAAATAATCAATTATATAGATGGCTTACGTTTATGATCGAGAAGACGCTAATAAAAGTAGCAATAATATAATATCCCGTTTTCATTAGTCTAAATTTACATTTAAACAACTTGACAGAACCATAATATAAGAGTCAATAAGAGTCAAAAAGATATTAACGTATAACGTAACAAGATGTTAACATATAACATATATTAACATAATTAGTTTGAACAAATCATTAATTTTTAATTATATTCTTTTTATAATTATATCAAGTATCTCAAGCTTTATATATTGATGTACTACGTGTTATATATTTATGTATTATGTCAGTCAAATTAATTAAAAAATAATTTAAAAACTACTTGCTTAATCATTAATAAAGAATAGGTTATTTAAGGTTCTTTAATATATTTTATTTAATATCTTTTAATATTGCTTTTTAATATATCTTATTTTTATGTTTTCTCTAAATTTCTGCAAAAACACAAACAGTTCAAAAATAATGCATTTCTTTTCGAAAATGTTATGCACAAAATATCGTTAAAAAATATTTTTGTACAATAATTTCCTAATAGAGAAATAATCATGTATATACACACGGGTTTTTTCATAGCCTTTTTTAATGTCAATTATACATCGATCAGTCTTATTACCTAAATTTGCAGAAAATAACATGTAGAATTAGTATAATGTTGAAATATCTATTTATATAATCTTTTCTTTATAGATATTATCGAACAATAGACGGAATTTTCCTACCTCAAATGCTCAAGTGCACTATAACATCACGAATGCTGAAGTTGATTATCGTCCGACAATAGATGAGGTGTCTTATGTCGATTTTGATTCGCTTACGTTCCCTTCTAAAAAGCCGAATGTTTGCAATGATTGCGGTAAATAAAAGCATTTGAGCTAATGTACCTGATCATCATTTGGGAATCTATGCAAGAAACATTGCAAGACCATTATAAAAATCTTAAATTTTTTACATTCTTATATTGGCTACATTCGGAAACTTCATTCGGGTGCACACTAGCGTCGTTCTGTCCTTGTTCAATTTTTAGTAAGTAACAAAGACAGAACGATGCTGGTGTGCATTCGAGTGAAGTTTCCAAACGCAGCCATTGTAGCAATAATAGATGCAAACAATCATGCATATTTTAATCTCAATTGATAGAAAAATATACATGTATAATAATTTATTCCTACTAAAATAAATAATATAATACATATATTTATTTTTTATATATATGCATAAAAGTGTAATAACTGCGATTTAATATTCTTTAAATGTAAATTAATGGAACTAGCTATAAATATAATAAATGTATAAATAGAACACATATTCTACACATAATAGTGTTACAAAATTATTTATAATTGTATGGAAGTAAAATTATGCCATTTTCTTCTTTGCACAATTTTACACATAATGTTACGATTTGCATAGATTAAATAATAATTTTTTTTTTTCGTAATCTTGTTTCACTATGTAAATTTGGAAATATTAAAAAGTACACCTGATGAATATGACTAAATGAGGTTAATAATTCTTTTCAATAGTGCGCAAACTTAATTTATTGTGAATAATTAGAAAGCATGTCGAATAACCTTGCTTCAATCATATTGATTATTGGTTAGTCAAATTATACGCTTGTATTAATGCGTTACAGTTTGCGGGCTTGGGAGAAAGACGAGAATTGTTGGCGGCAATGTGACCAGCGTTTATGATTATCCCTGGTTAGTAAGCATGAGTAAAAAAGGGACATTTTACTGTGCTGGAAGTATAATATCACGAAAGCATATACTTACTGCGGCTCACTGTTTGCAAGGGTACGTGTGAAGCAATTACAAATCGCAAATAATTATAAGTTTGCGGATTATACATATTTAATTCCAGAGTTATAACATACTTACATTGTTAAAATAATTTTTAGATTTGACATTAGAACTATTAAACTTGTTTTGATGGATAGCGATCGATCCTCAGTAGGCAGCAATGCTATAGTTCGACGTATTAAATCGGCAGTCATTCACGAAAATTTCCATAGTTACACTTTTAATAATGATATTGCAATCATAGAGATGGATGAACCCGTATCTGTGAATGGCATTGTACGAACAGCATGTTTACCAGAAGACAGTAAGTTATTTCCAATACTAATAAAATATACTTTTTTAAAATATCAGTAAGATATGTAGACAGTTTTAGAAAAATTTAATATTTATGTTTCATTGATTGAAATAATACATTATAAACTATTACGTACAAGTATGTGTGTGCATGTGAGTATCTACATGTATTGCCATTTTATATGTTTATTTGTGAATCATATCTAAATTACGATATTAATAATCTGCAATATAATATTCAATATATACATATAAATATCGCTATATCCCATGTGTTCCGAGTTCCGATATTCACTACCACTACCAGTACTGAAAATCTATAGTTTGCGTCACGTATACTATAGATTTTCAATACTGGCAGTGAATATCGGAACACACTCATTGTTAAAAATCTTCATTGAATAAGTTTTGAATTTATCATACGTCTCTAAATTCAAGTTGAAATTTTAGATAACGCTTAAGATAACGCTTAAAAATTTAGATAACGAGTTCTGTTCCAATAGAATCCATGTTGATGCAATCGGCCATAGAAGATATTAGAATTATAAAATTACAGACGTGATTGATTACACCGGAGCCATCGCTACCGTAGTCGGATGGGGTCGAACAGGGGAGACTAAGCCGGTAAGTGACGAATTACGAAAGGTTAATCTGCCAATCTTATCGCAAGAGGAATGCGATCAAGCTGGATACGCGAAAAATCGCATCACCGAAAATATGTTTTGTGCCGGCTACATAATACATCCGGAGGGAGCGGTAGAAGGACGGGACGCTTGTTTCGTAAGTGTTAGCCAGAGTTCAAAATAAATATAAATAATTGATATTTTTTGATAAGAAATACTATATTCATGAAGAAAAATATACATGCGTATGTGTGTGTGTGTAAATTATTTGTAATATTAGCAAAAGATTATTGTCTTTAAGTTTTTATTAATAGAAATTCTAAAATATTCAATATTGTACATAAATTAATATGTAGCTCAATTTTGTTATCTCATTATTGTATTAACTATCAATACAGTAAACTATAATTTAAATCCAATTTCAAAAAATTAAATATATCACTTTTTTTATATTACTCTGTGTTTCTACACTGGAAAAAAAATTTCTGCATTTTAGTAAATATTAGTTTGCATACAACTGTGACTCCATTTACTAAAATAAAGAAAATTTTCCTCTTTATTAGTACATTTTTTCTCAGTGAATACACATATTCTAAAAAAAAAAAAATTTTCTTTATTTTAGTAAATGGAGTCACAGTTGTATGCAAACTGATATTTACTAAAATGCAGAAATTTTTTTTTCTCAGTGTATATATATATTTTTATTTTTATTTTTATTTTTATTTTAAGGGCGATAGCGGTGGCCCTTTACATGTTAAAGGAATTTATGGACAGCTCGAAGTAGTAGGTATGTATAAATGTATAGTAGTAGGTAATAATAAACTAAAATCTTATTTTACTTGTAACTTTAAATTTTTTAAATTTAATTTTAAAATTAAAATAATTTTTTTTTTATATTTAAACAGAGAAATGCATTTCTCTGATATAACAGCTAAATAAAGTATAATATAAGTCAATCGTAGAAAAATAAAGCGTGGAACCGTAACAAGGTGTTGGTGTTCATATATTCTGTACTTAAGTAAAGAATTAACGAATTGTAATGTACACGCTGTACATATACATGTATTCCAACTAGACTGCGCACCGATTATTTGTCGGACTTGAAACACTTTGTTACGGCTCCACGTTCCATTTTTCTACAATTTATTTCTAATCTTATGAGCCTTTCTATAAAAAAAATAACAAGGAGTTTCAAGTCCGACAAATAATAGGCGCGGTCTACTAAGTTGGAGTGCATGTATATGTACAGCGTGTACATTACAATTATTTATTTAAATTAATTTTTTACTTAAGTATAGAATATATGAACACCAACATCTTGTTACGGCTCCATTTTTCTACGATTGATTTCTAATCTTATGAGCCTTTATTATTATATATATAATATAAGTATGTTTTTCCATTTATTCAGGTATCGTTTCTTGGGGACGTGGATGTGGAAGACCCAATTTTCCTGGAATATTTACTAAATTGACGAATTACATCGGATGGCTTAAAGATCACTTAGATGACGAATGTGTTTGTCCTCCACCACATCGACAATAAAATAAATTTGTTACCTATTGTTATGTTGATATGTATCGCGCGGATGTAATTGTCAGAAGAATAGTAAGTGTAATTTTATTTCAATATTTATTTGATCATTAAGTTTACGAAAGGAATAGAAAATAATAGAGAATAAAATGTTGTCGTTCTTTTAATTTCATACTTCAGTTTAATTATAAATATGTAATTTATCTTATATGTCTAAAAATGTCTTTATATTTTACAAGTTTTTCGTATTAGATACTGTATAAACATATAAAAATTATGTCCAGCTATTTTTCTATAGAATAATCACAATACATTATTGTACATTTTCGTGCTATTAATTTATTATAACTATTAATATACATACACACACACACACACATATATATATATATAAATATATATAATGTTACATGCATCTAGTCCAATGTATATAATAAAATATTTATGTACTGCGATATTAATTGTGCTACAAATGTCTTGTAAAGTTAGAAAATGTGTAGTAAGGAAAACGTAATTAATTTTTATTTCTTCAATGTATTGTACATAAAAGTGTCAGAATTACAAATAATGTATTTTAAAATAGTATTTAGTTCAAAAGACATCTTGTATGTTCGCTCCCCTCCTTTCCTCTTCTTCTTATCTTATATAACTCTATTTAAATAAAAAAACCTGTAAAACAATTTAATGTAGGAGCTCTAAATTGCACATGCTCCTTTTAAGGAGGTTCTACAGGTACTCTCTAGTCAGTTGAGAGATGAAGAGAAAATCTTCAAATTCGTCGATTCTAAGTATTCATAAAATATTTTCGTGAATTTTGATGACGTTAGAGCTTATATCATACCCATATTAGTCGAAGCGAGGAATAATTAAAAATATCGTGTAAGTGCTGCTTTGACTCTGGCGGCTTATAATGGAAGAAAATGTGGTAACGTCGCGAACTTGACAGTTCTGCTCATATGACCGTGGTTATTTCACAATTTCACATAATTCTAGAGCGAGTACTTCTCCGTAAGCGCTCGTAAACGTTAGGTGCTTAAGTTTGAGGTGCTGTCATACTGTGGTGCTGTACGCTGTACTGGCTGTACACTTTTCGCGCGGGTGCAGTCGCTGCGACATTGCCAAATCTCCCTTGTTATTCGAAGCACGCTACGTGAACTGTGATATGGCCTGTTTCAATAGCCAATATCACAAAATTTTACGCGATAACCCTTGTTTTTCTCGATATTTCTGAAAAGGTTAGATTAAGATCTATAAGAGCTCCGTTTTTTGAATCTTTGGTAGGTCGCCTTTATATAATTAATATCTCGTTTCCTGTCTCCAAGAGCCCCTCTGCCATATGTAGCTTATGTTAAAAACTGTGATTTCAAAATTCATTTTTGCAAATTTTTACACGGTAACCGATGCTAAAATTTTTCGAGCACTTTTTTCGCATCTCAATTTATACGTCCATAAAGTTTTTTCCAATTTTTAGATACATCCATTATCTGTAGAACCTCCTTAATGTAGGGGTTACTATTTTATAGTTATTATTGCTATAATATTAGTAAATATAACCTTATACTGAGAAAAAAATAGTTGCAGTTATCAAACTTCACTATTTTTAATTGTCCTTATCGGATTATCACAGTGTGACGTCTGTAATTTTTTTTGATATTAGGTTTTTTTTACCTTTATCGAGAAGAAATGTTATGTCGTATCATTATCGAGAGATTAAAAATTTCAAAACACATCTTCTTTACTACAAGTGTTTATTACAGTGGTTTACTACAATTCTAAAAATTATTTGTAAAGAAACTTTTACTATATAATAAAATAGTTCTTATTCACATTATAATAAAAGTTCTCGAATATTATCATTATTGGCTACGTTTACACCCAGCGACCTGATCACGGTTTGACATATATTGGCTGCGTTCGGGGAGCGCGCTATTAGCGCTATTGCATCGTTCTATCTTTATCGCTCATCAGGTGTAAAACAAGGATAGAATAAGCAAATAGCGCTAATAGCGCGCTCCCCGAACGCAGCCAAGTAGGTCTAGTCATCATTCGTTTACACCGAAATAGACCTAAAAATTGACGGGATCGTATTTGGGGTCGCCCTGAATTGCAGCGAATCCGAACAAGCAAATAAAAGCTTTTCAGACGCGTCGCGCATGATCGCGCGTTACATCGCAAATGATAACGGGCCTATTTCAGGTCGGGTCACTAAAATACGCGGCTTAACCTGAAGCCAGTTCCGGTCGCCTATCAAGTGTTTACAGCAGGCGGCCTAAATAATTTAGGTCAAATTTGAAATATAGGCCGCGGCCTAAATTCAGGGTGTAAACGTAGCCATTGCGTAACAACACCATGTTATATGAATATTATACCAAATATGTATATACTTGTTTATTTATCACTTTATACCTTATATGTTTTCACTTCATATGTTATATAAATATAACATACAATATCTTTAAGGCGGGTCGCGCATACCAGAGCGACATGCAATACATATCGTGAGACAATTTTTCTGCACATCAAAGTGTTATTTTATCATTTGTTGTAGTACAGTCGTGATAAATTTTTTAAGTAAATAAAACGTAGTTACGGCTTATTTATGAGATAAAGAAAACGAAAATATTGGGTACATCTCTAGAATTTTCATAATGTGCATCATAGTTCTGCAATGGTGTCAAAAGAGCTTGCAACGGATTTCCACGCAAGGCCCATAATGTCACATTCTTGCTGTACTCTCTTAATATATAAACATGAATTCCATAAACATGTTCTTCAATTGCTTTTATAAATTTAATTAACACTGGGTCTCCCTTCATCCTTGCACTATGGGACATTGCGCGGGACGATTTGTTAAATAAAATCTAATCACATGAGACATGTATATGCTACTTATTTTAGGCGGGCTGCATACCCGAGCGACGTGCGATAAATATCTTATAAAATCTTGAAAGAAACTGTTGTATACTTTAAACATTAGTGCTGATCTACAACCTTGTTTTAAAGGGTATTTAAGCCGTAAAAAATTGACCAATCACAGTGGAATGTGAGGAGAATACTCGACTGTGATTTCTTATCCGTGTCCGACAGCGTGAAATTACAGGTACTCGCATGTGTGCCGGTCTGTCTGCATATGGTGCACATTAAAGCGACGGCAACGGTCGCGTCCTGTTCCATAACCGGGTAGCAAAAATGGTTGAAGAAGTCATCGGTCTCCGAGAACAACTTCTCGCAGCTGCAGCAGATCAAATAGCACGAACCCTTGAAGACGTTGTAGAAATCCTCCACCGAGGAGAACGCCATCTCTAGAACGCTGTACTTCTTCAACCTTAAATGGTACGACAGCCTCTCCGCCTGGCCGAACATGCCCAGGTAAACTTTTCTCGTGATGTTGAAGTTGCACACTGGAATGTGAGGAGAATACTCGACTGTGATTGGTCAATTTCTTACGGCTTAAAGCTTAAAAGGAAAGCAAGGTTGTAGATCAGCACTTAAAGAACGAAAGTTGTATATTTTAAACATAAAATAAGGAACCTGGTAAAATACGGTATAGTACCTATATTCGTAAATCGAAAAGAATAAGAGAACTCTCTTTTCACTCTTTTTGCGGATACACGATCGGTCTCGCTGTTGCATGAACTTGGCGCGAGATAATCGTGTCTCTTGGGTTGCATTCGGGGAGTGCGCTATCAGTGCTATTGCATCATTCTATCTTTATCGCTCATTAGGTGTAAAACAAGGATAGAATAAGCAAATAGCGCTAATAGCGCGCAACCCCGAATTTAGCCTTAATCACAAAGTAAGACAAGAGAAGACAAAGTGCAAAAAAATGCAGCATGAATGGCATAACGGTCTTATTTTATCTTGCGCACTATTAGCGCCATTCGCTTATTCTATCCTTGTTTTACACCTAATAAGCGATAAGGATAGAATGATGCAATAACGCTAATAATGCACTCCCCGAATGCAACCCAAGAAACACGATCACCTCGCGCCAAAAGTTTATGCAACAGCGAGGCTGATCATGTGTTTCTCTGCAAAAAGAGTGAAAAAATTATTTCTTTCTTTTTGGTTTATACGAATATATTATTTCGTATCTTACTAAGCTTTTCATTTATTTAAAATATACAACTTTTGTTCTTTAATATATAAAATAAACAACAGTTTTTTCAAAGATTTATTACAGTTTTTTTTTATTTATTACATTTATAACAGTTTTTTTGCAAAAAGTTAAATTTAATATATACAATAGCTTCTTACAGGGATTTAAAGTATACAATAATTTTGTCCAATCATTTTTATGTATGACAGTATTTTTCATATGCAATAATGTTTCTTGATCCCTTTTTTGTATCTTTAAAAAAAAATGAGTCACGTTATATGATTTCATTTGACGTGAGTTCTTAATTTCCCGGAAAACAAAGTTCTTGGGCATCCCCACTTGATACCGTGAAGTATATAAGCTTGCTCAGATATCACCGCAGCACATTGCACATTAAACCACAGTGGTGAAGTGGGGAAAGTCAGAGATGGGAAGTCCAAAAGACTACATTGCATCTAACAAACTACAAAAGTCTAAAATATTGCCTCTAATCGACGAGTTTAGTGAAGATTTAAAGGATGTACGTGGAAAGTGTATGGACATTGGTTGTGGTCCTGGAGATATAACAAAAGATTTTTTGTTGCCAAATCTTGGCTCAGATGTACAAATAATTGGTAAAAGAATAATAAATTATAGAAATGTAAAAGCAAATCAACATTATAAATAATTATTTAATTCACTAATTTCGCATTTCGTGAAGGTACGGATATTTCGGAGAGCATGATCAAATATGCGAATAAAACATTTAATGACAAAAAACGTCTCCACTTCGAAGTATTGGATATTCAAACTAAAAATCTACCTGAGAAATATATTTCTGAATTTAATCATATATTTTCGTTTCACACTTTGCAATGGTGCAATGACATTCGGTAAGCAAGATATTATATAAAATATAATTAAAACTAAAATGTATTTCAACCCTTGTTGATAAAAAAGCCTTATTACTAAACTTTTTAAACAATGTAAATTAATTTTTTCTTGCAAACGTATTGTGCATGTGTGCTTCACTTTTTGAATAAAACAAGTGTTTTAAATTTATGCACAATATTATTTTACATTTTGACGTCTTTTTTGTTCATAATATTTCTTCACACACACATTTCTATAATATATGATAATATAATAGCATAATTTGAAAAAACGAGAAATACACATAAAAGTGAAAAATATATGAATATATCACATGTTTTTTAGAAAAATGCATTTAAAAAATATACTATTAACAAATCTACATATATAAAATAGAATGTCTGTATGTATGTATGTATGTTCTTTATACACTCTTAAACTATTCGACCGAATATTTACCAAAAGTATATAAAATAGGGGTAGAATTTTCCGGGGAGTGTTATAGAGTGTATAGTTGTTCGTTATCGATTTTTTTTAGAACCGGTATCCGAAATTTTTCCAATTTTTCGGGAATTAATTGACCGAATCTTAAAAAATTGTATACAAAATAGGGGTAGAATTTCCCAGGGAGTGCCATAAACTGTATAGTTTTTCGTTACCGATTTTTTGGGGAATTGGTATTCGAACTGATAAAGGAATTTTTTTCGATTAAGGATATTAAAACACAAATGAAGTCGTTTGAAGAAAAACGACTCTCGGGAAGCCCGGGTAACCAGCTAGTATTTTAATAAAAGTACGCGTTTTAATAAAATTAATTACATTTATTTGCTTTATTTAACAGACAAGCCTTTAAGAATATATATCAAATGTTACAACCCAATGGAACTATACTTTTGTATATAGTAGCATCTCATGATGTATATGAAGTTCTCAGAATTTTGGAGCGGGACATCCGCTTCGCACAATATATACCGGTATACATATTTTCAAATTTTAATTGATATTTGATTTGCTTTCTCATTATTTATTTTTATTACATGCTTTATTACTTTGTAATTTTTGCACTATAAATGGTTAATTATTATTTTTATGTTTACATAGGATATAATGAAAAACATTTCTCCGTTTCAAGATTCAAACGATGCTCGCAAAGACTTAAAAGAATTACTTCAAAGTATCGGATTTACAATTCACCATTGCAGTCTTCGGGAGACGAGCTATTGTGAAGAAAAATTGAGACAGTTTTTAGGTAAGTCATAGTAAAAATATGCAAGAAGTAATAATTTTAAAACATTATTATAAATTATGTATACGTTAATTTTATAATCATACGTATATTATTTTAACAGACTCGATAATATCCCTCTTAACATTTCTTGAAGACATGCCACAAGATCTGATGGAAGAATTCAAGAATACATTTATAAATGAATATGTAAGAAGAAAAATTAAATATAAATCAATATATAATAATCAGGAACTTACATTGGATTTATATAAAGTATTAGTAGTTTACGCACAAAAGATATAATAATCTATAACAATTGCGTAAACATATATGCAGTCCTATAATAAAAAAACTAGAAGACAGAATTTTTGTAGCACTAGTTCTTGTATCATCAGATACTATGATTAATAAATAATTATTAATTAATAAATAGTTAATAATTTATTCCACATCTTTTATCTAGATTGATATATGCATCTGAAATCAAATTACTTGCAGCAAATAAAATGATTACATACCGTGGGTAATACCAGTTTCTTAGAAAGGACATTTTGTATTGTCAATAATTATGTACAATAGAACTTATATTTATGAATAAAAAATTATAATAACTAATATAAAAATTTATGTAAATTAAAATTGCGTAAAGATACACGGTGCGATCTTGCTGCGCGTATATTTGGCGCGAGACATTATATATCGTGTCTCTTAGAAAATAATCTTATCAGAAAAAAATTGCAAAATTAATTGTAAATTCATACTTTGAAATAATTACTTTAATTATGTAAACATAAATTTTAGTAAAAATATAGGTACTTAATCGTATGCGTACATTGTTATGTAAGTAAAATAATGTACAAGGATAAAAGCTATTTAATATTATAATATGTCATTAGACTCGTGAAAATGTCAACAAATTAATAAACGGCTTACATTAGATTTATATAAAAAGTTATTAGTTTATGCACAAAAGATATAGTAGTCTGTAACAATTGCATAAACATATATGCAGTCATATAATAAAAAATCTATAGATGACATTAAAATTTTTGTAGCACTAATTGCATTAACAGATACTTATGATTAATAAATAATTATTAATTAATAAATAGTTATCTAATAATTTATTCCACATCTTATATCTAGATTGATATATGCATTTGAAATTAAATTTTAAAATATAAAACTTTTTATACACGATAATCACAATGTGCATTTGTATGTGTGTGAGAATTTCTTACATATTGTTTGACAAAAAACTTTATAATATGATTTATCCAAATGTAAAATTTAATTTATGTATTATATATTTCTAAAGTATTGGGTTGATTTATAAATAAGATCTGTGTAACTTATCAAACTGGATTTTTATATTTAAAAAACGTTAAAACAATATAAGTACTGATTCATAAATGATACACGTATAATTACTTATTGCAGTAGATAAAATAATTACATACCGCGGGTAATACCGGTTTCTCAGAAAGGACATATTTTGTATTCAGTAATTATGTACAACAGAACTTATTTATAAATCAAAAATTATAATAACTAATATAAAAATTGATGTAAATTAAAATTGCGTAAAGATAGGAGAGCTTGGGGCACAGTGGCTCAAGGGGCACATTGGATCATTGGTTATAACTACGCTACTATCAGTTCTAGAAACTTGCTCTTTAAGCACATAGATTATGGTTTGTGTCACTACTTGTCAAACCAGTGATACGCTACCGATAGGTGTGACAGAGGTCCTGTAGTAAAATAAGTAGAAAACTTTTTTTCAATATTGTATTTGTTTTGTACTTTTGTATTATTTTTGTGTGAATTCTAATATAGTTTAGCATTTTTAGTGTCTTTACAGATTTGTTTATAAGGGCGTGTACGTGAATTCGCCAGATATTTCATACAGACGTTACACGTTTAGACGTAAGACAATTTTGCTGCACACAGCGATAAGACATTTATCATTTGTCGTAGTACTGTTGCAATGAGTTCTGTAAGCGAAAAAAACGTTATGGCTTAACTGGTTTTTGAGATAAAGAAAGAGAAAAAGAAGATATTGCGTACTATAGAATTTCCGTAATGTGCATCATAGTTCTGCAATGGTGTCAAAAGAACTTGCAATGGATTTCCATGCAATGTATAATTCCATAAACATGAATGTTTTTCGACTGGTATTATAAATTTAACTAAAAACACTGGGTCTCCCTTCATCCTTGCACTATATATACGGGACATCGTGCGACGATTTGTTAAATAAAGATTAATCATGTAAGACATATGCATACTACTTATTTTAGGCGAACTGCATACCAGAGCGACGTGCGATAAATATCTTGTAAAATATATATCTCTTGAAGCGTATGAAATGCATTGTTTATCTTAAATACCCGCACACTTGCGCGACTGCGACATCTGTCTTACACGATATTTGTATTACATATAAGATTTAAGTATAGTACACATGTCTCATGCGATTAATGGCCCGTAGCAAGGATGAAGGAAGACCCAGTGTCTTTAGTCAAATTTATAAATTAAAAACATCCATGTTTATGAAATTATACATTTAAAAAATCAAAAAGACACAGTAGCAACTGTGCCGCAACCAACTACGTAGAACTACAAATCTCAATTGTCACTATTTCATGGCACTATCTCACTTGTTCTACGTCTTTAAAGTATTCAACGAAGGACAGTTGACGTAGCCCTACGATGTTCTCGCAGCGACTTCTCGCGAAATAAAGTATTCTCTGCTTTAACAAAAAGAGTTTAATTTATCAACAATTTATTGCTTTAAATGTTGTGTTTTGATAAAGCAGCAACTTTCACGCGAAACGAGATATTCTCTACTTAAAAAAAAAGACGTAATATTGGTCGTTTATGCCTCTCGATACTCAAAATACTCAAATGCTATATTTTTGAAACTTTTTTTGTTAATAACTTTTTAACGAATAACGACCGCCGGCTAAAAACTTCTGAAGGTCACTCAAGAGGATGACCTTGACAACATATGTCAAGGTCCAGGTCATTGGCAAGTGGGGTCTTTTTATGCATAATTACCCTTATCTTATCTTATCTTGAACAAAATCCTTTACTTCAACCAATCTTATCTTCTTCTCTCATCTTACTTTTTAATGAAAAAAACACGGTCACACGTCTCGCACAAAATTCATGCAACAGCGAGACCGATCGTGTGTTTCTCCGCAAAAAGAGTGAAAGAGTTGTTTCATTTTTTTTGGTTTACGAATATATTATTTCGTATCTTACTAGGCTTCTCATTTATTTAAAATATACAACCTTTGTTCTTTAATGTATAGAATATACGACAGTTTTTTTCAAAGATTTATTCTTATTTAACGTTATTTTCTAATATTCTGAAACCTTTTGTAGATAGAATATTCAACAGTTTTTTTGCAAAGAGTTAAATTTAATATACGCAATAGCTTCTTCCAAAGATTTTAGAGAATACAATAATATTGTCCAATCATTTTTATGTATAACAGTATTTTTCATATGTTCAATAATATTCCAACAAGCGTGTGTATTTAGCGCCTTTTTCGTAACTTTTTTTTTAAGACGAGTCTTAAAAAGATATGATTTCATTTGACGTGAATCCTTAATTTCCTGAAAGATAAACAAAATTCAATAGGGAGAGAGGCAATCGGAGCCACGCGCAATAATTATTGCGAAATCAATATATAGTCAATAAGATAAAATATATTAGTTAATACATATTCGGACGTTTCGACACTTTCTTTGTGTCATCTTCAGCGTGTAAACAAAATTAATATACATGAAAATTACAAAATAATGCATTTTTCAGCCTGCGTGTAATAATAATGATCCGTTCACTCGAGTTATCGAGATCTCAACATCTCGGGTACTCGCAACCCGTCGCGTCGCGTAAAAGAGTCACGGTCGGTCTCGCTCTGCGTATACTTGGCGCGAGACACTACCGTGTCTCTTGATAAACTAACAAGCTTGTAAGTATAGGCTATTCTGATTAAATCAAATAGGGGATAGTGAAAGGCAATCGGAGCCAGGCGTGGTAATTATTGCGCAATCAATAATTAATAATTAATAAGCGTGGCCCCGATTGCCTCTCTCACTATTTCCTATTTGATTTATTCAGAAAAGCCTGTACTTATTGTTAGTTTATCATAAAAAGAATTCTTGAGCATGCCTACTTGATACCGTGAAGTATATAAGCTTGCTCAGATATCACCGCAGCACATTGCACATTAAACCACAGTGCTGCACAGAAGTGGGGAAAGTCAAAGATGGGAAGTCCAAGAGACTACAGTACATCTAACAAAGTACAAAAGTGTAAAATATTGCCTATAATCGAAGAGTTTAGTGAAAATTTAAAGGGTATATGTGGAAAGTGTATGGACGTTGGTTGTGGTCCTGGAGATATAACAAAAGATTTTTTGTTACCAAGTCTTGATTCAAATGCACAAATAATTGGTAAGAGAATAATAAATTATAGAAATGTAATAACAAATCAACATTATAGTAATTATTTAATTCTCTGATTTCGCGTTTCGTGAAGGTACGGATATTTCGGAAAGCATGATCAAATATGCGAATAAAACACTTAGCGATGAAAAACGGCTCCACTTTGAAGTATTGGATATTCAAACTAAAAATTTACCTAAGAAATATATTTCTGAATTTGATCATATATTTTCGTTTCACACTTTGCAATGGTGCAATGACATTCGGTAAGCAATATATAAAATATAATTAAGGCTAAAATGTATTTCCCTTATTGATAAACAAGCCTTTTATTAAGGCTTTTTAAATTTTTTAAACAAGTGTAAATTAATTTTTTCTTGCAATCATATTGTGCATGTGTGCTTCACTTTTTGAACAGAACAAGTGTTCCGTTGAATTTATATAATATGACACATTTCCATAATATAATATAACTAGCTAATTACCCGGGTTTCTTCTTCTATTTCTTCTATTTATTCAAAATAACCTCGATAGCATACTAACGCGAGCGTCGCGAGTTAATCTCGATGGTATACTAACATTACTGACGCGAGTGAAAACAGTAAAAACAGTGCAAGCTCAGTCAAAAGTTTTACACAGATAAGTAGAGTTTTCCGTACATTATCGTATTGCAGTGGGACCATTATTTTTGACTAATACTGTCGCGATACAGCTACCTTAATCAAAAAAATTCCTTTATCAGGCAATTGCTTATCAGGAATCCTTTATATTCATTTGCAAAGAATCCTTTATATCCTCGAAAAATTAATTAAATTTTTGAACCGGTTTTAAAAAAAATAAATTGTTTTCAAAAAATAATACACGTCGTGGCAATTAAACCCATCCTTGAAAAATTAATAAAACCAGTTTTAACTAAATCGATAAATCGGTAGATTAATGTAAAAGCATTCCCCGGAAAATTCTACCCCTGTTTCATGTATAATTCTTTAAGATTCGGTCAATTATTTCCTGAAAAATTAAAAAAATTAGAAAAATTGGCTTCCAGAAAATCGGTAACAAAAAACTATACACATGATGGCACTCCACGGAACATTCTACCCCTATCTCATGTATTCCACTTTAAAATTTAGTCCACTAATGAATGAATAATTAAGCAAACATACATACACACCAATCCACAAAAAGCTATAAATTGAAAAATATCACTTTCTTATCAAATAAAGTTCAATTCCGTCGTATACAATTTTTTAAGATTCACTCAATTATTTCCCGAAAAATTGGAAAAATTTCGTAACCGATTTTCAAAAAGATCGGTAACGAAAAATTATATACTTTATAGCACTCCCCGAGAAATTCTATCCCTGTTTTAGATACAATTCTTTAAGATTCGATCAATTATTTCCCGAATAATTGAAAAAATTTTGGATACCGGTTCCCAAAAAGATCGGTAACAAAAAACTATACACTCTATAACACTCCCCGGAAAATTCTACCCCTATTTTATATACTTTTGGTAAAAATTCGGTCGAATAGTTTAAGAGTGAGAACAGACATACAGACATTCTATTATATATATATATATATATATATATATATATATAGATAGCATAATTTGAAAAACGAGCAATAGACATAAAAATACAAAATATATAAATATATTATATGTTTTTATATAATTTCATTAAAAAATGTCCTGATATATTAAAAAATATTTTAATAAAAGTATAGTTTTTTTTAAATTAATTTATACATTTATTTGTTTTATTTAACAGACAAGCCTTTAGGAATATGTATCAAATGCTACGACCCAATGGAACTATACTTTTATATATAATAGCATCTCATGATCTGTGTGAAGTTTACAAAATTTTGGAGCAAAACATCCGCTTTGCGCAATATATACCGGTAAATATATTATTAAATTTTAATTAATATTTCATTTGCTTTCTCATTATTTATTTCTAATACATGTTTTGTTATTTTATTACTCTTGCACTATACATTGTTAATTATTATTTTGATGTTTATATAGGATACGATGAAAAACATTTTTCCGTTTCATGGGTCAAATAATGCTCGCAAAGACTTAAAAGAATTACTTCAAAGTGTCGGATTTACAATTCACCATTGCAGTCTTCGGGATGCGAGCTATTCTGAAGAAAAATTGAGACAGTTTTTGAGTAAGTCATAGTAAAAATATGCAAGAAGTAATAATTTTAAAACATTATTATAAAGTATGTATACGTTAATTTTATAATCATACGTATATTATTTTAACAGACTCGATAATATCCCTCTTAACATTTCTTGAAGACATGCCACAAAATCTGATGGAAGAATTCAAGAATACACTTACATGTGAATTTCTAAAAAAAAAAATTGACTATAAATCAATATATAATAATCAGGAACTTACATTGGATTTATATGAAGTATTAGTAGTTTACGCACAAAAGATATAATAATCTATAACAATTGCGTAAACATATATGCAGTCATATAATAAAAAAACTAGAAGACAGAATTTTTGTAGCACTAGTTCTTGTATCATCAGATACTTGTATTATCAGATACTATAATTAATAAATAATTATTAATTAATAAATAGTTACTAATTTATTCCACATCTTTTATCTAGATTGATATATGCATCTGAAATCAATTTACTTGCAGCAGATAAAATAATTACATACCGTGGGTAATACCAGTTTCTTAGAAAGGACATTTTGTATTGTCAGTAATTATGTACAATAGAACTTATATTTATAAATAAAAAATTATAATAACTAATATAAAAAGTTATATAAATTAAAATCGCGTAAAGATACACGGTGCGGTCTCGCTGCGCGTATACTTGGCGTGAGACACTATATATCGTGTCTCTTAGAAGATGATCTTATAAAAAAAAAA